TTTTGGCGATGGAGGATGGTGATGATAGAGAGGATGTGATGTAGGCGTTGAGCCGGGATGTAGCCGAAGATTTTGACGCTAAACTCTATTTGTTTATCCCGACTTTATCAACTTCTTATTCCGGTCTTCTTACACATACCTATAGATGTACCTCCGATCTGGCCGCTTACACATAGTCCTCCCTCGTTCCCTTCTCCGCACTCCGATAAATCGCCTCAATCATCTTATGCCTCACAACAGCCTCCTCCCAAGTCGTAACACTACCCTTGCCCTCTCCAGCCCATGCATCCCAAGCCCTACCCACATTGAACGAAGGGTCTGCAGCGTTCTCGACCTCCACCTCTTTCAATCCCTCTTGGCCCAGGGCGATTTTGACTGTAGGCTGGAACATCTGCACATGTCCGTTCGGTCCTTCCAGCACAAGCGTACCCTCGGATCCGATGATCTCCCAGTAAAAGTCCCGTCCAGTGCGTGAAAAACCTGGCGCATAGGTTACGTCGACGTTTCCGCCGCCGTTGATGAGTTCTGCGGTGATGGAGACGAAGTCGTGAGAGGTTTTCGCCTCCTTTTTCCCGAGGGGCTTGTAGTTTTCGTCTACCACTTCGAGCTCGGGGTATCTGTTCGACAGCACAGCGGAAATGGAGCGTAGTTCGCTGGAAAAGACGTAGCATAGAGCGTCTACGGCGTGGCCGAAAGGGATCGTGAGGATGTTTGCGCCGTTCTCAACGGGGTGCATGTACATGTAAGAGGGCATAGTTGTGCCGCCGAAGATCATGCCCTGTTGGTTCCGCGTTAGCAAGCTTGTTCATCCTATAGAACATGTGATTCCCATTCAGTATCAGAAAGATAGACATGAGAACTCACATGACCGAACATTGTCGTCCCCAAGATCTTGCCCAGCTTCCCCGACTCAACAATCTCCTTCGCTTTCAAAATCGATGGGTTCTGGCGTGCTTGCAAGCCCACCATCGTCCTGACACCCTTCTCTTTAGCCAACGCCGTCAATCTTTCTGCTTCTTTCTCGTTGCGAGCTAATGGCCATTCGCAGAAAACGTCTTTTCCCGCTTCCAGAGCCGGACGGATGAGATCATAGTGTTGGGGCACGTTGACGCTAACAGCAATGATGTCTACGTTGGGATCTTGGGCGACTGAGCTGGGAGAGTCGTGCGTGGATACAGAGTCTAGAGAGTACTGTTTGGCGGAAGCCTGGGCTGAAGCGAGAGAGCTATTCTGAAGGGCGGTGAGCGCATAGTGCGGAGTGCGTTGGAGGTAGGGAAGATGGGACTTCGATGCCCAGGATCTGGTGTTATGTCAACTGCCGATGCTCATGAGTGCAGGAACAATGCGAACGTACCCTTTAGCAGACAGGCCAATGAGGCCGATGCGCTTTTGTGAGGTGGCCATGATAGGTTAGTACGGTACGCGACTTTGAAGGATTGTCAGTACAGTAAGCGGTGAGCAATCAGATGCTTACTCAAAATAGCGAATGCGTACCAGTTTCATATATCAAACAGCGGAATAACTTTGCATTCCGCTCTTTCCGCAACCATGCATCCAAAGCGAGTACGGCCGATTGGTGTCGCGTCATTGTCGCGTGGCATGCATGACGCCATTCGCAGCTCCCCCGCTTTTCGTCCGGACGCGCTTGACATCCAATATCTCAGTTTGTCTACCATCTCGCAAAATGCATGTCCGTGAATCAGGCATCACGCAGAGAACGACATTGAATGTTTTCGTCATGATTCCTACTAACACAGTATATCTCAATGTACAACTTAGGCATGTAGTTCAGGCGTCAGTCAGGTACAACTCAGAAGCAGCGACTCGCCTCGTATCTGTGAACCGTATATCCAACCATCTCCATGAGGCCCTCCTATGATGCCTGATCCATTTCCTCATCTTCGTCTTCACCGTAACTGTCCTCATCATCGCCGTCATTACCATCCTCATCCGACCTCTCAGGGTAACATCCATACAGTTGTGCGTGATCATAGTCATCGTCCGCAATACGTGCATGCTCATGTCCCCGGGTATAAGCCTCGTTCACGAAATAAGGGCGCGAAGTCGCCAAGGCAAGAGAAGGCTCAGAGCCCACAGCCAGACGACTTAAAGCTGCCGCACTGTTCGGGACAAAAGGTTCAGACGATGGAGATAGCGCACTTGAAGCCGACGTCCCAAAACCATACGGATTCTCCGTAGCTTGGAAGTCCCCGGTATTGCCAAACGTGCCCGCCACCTCTTGTCCCGTAAACGGCATCCCAGTCTCATTCTGCACCAACTTCTTCGTACTCCATCCGTTGGCCTGAGATAGATCTGCATAGTACTTCTCGTTCTGGCACTGCTCACAGAAGTACGTTCCGTGTCTAGCTTTCAACTTTCCGATCCTATCGAGGCAGTCCTTGTGGTACCAGCGCACTCTGCAGTCCTTGTTCATACACTGTGTGATCTGGACCTCGTTAGTGCGAGCGGGTTTGCGGCAGGAGCAGATTAAGTCGGTTTTGGCGGGAAGATGCTGGAGGTGGGTTTCGAAGGCTTCTTTCGTGACGCCAAATGGCGCGGTATAATCAGCGGCTGGGTCGCGTTTGCGGTACATGGGCGCCTTCGGTGAGTGTTTCTTGCCTGCAGGTTTTGACGGAGGGCTTGGCGTTTTCTTGTTTGACGATGCTTTGCCTTTGTTCTTCGCAGGCGTATACTCGCCGCCCGGTCCATATGGGTCACATTCCTGTTCTGATATGTCGGATGGTACATCGCTCAAGTCCGTATCGTCGCCATCGACGTCTTTAGTCTTAACCGCGCGTTGAGGTGTCGAGGGGCCCTCGGGATTTATCACCGTGAAGAAGTTGCGGATGTCGGTGCCCTTCGCTTTGGCCATACCCTCTCGCCTTATACGGTGATTGGTGAAGAATCCGCGGACAGCGTTAGTATCGATATCGCGACCGAACCTGCGACTACCACTGCCGAAATCCGGGATACTGTCTGGTAGCAGTGTCTTGCTGCCGAGCTTTTCGTAATCTTCGTGTTGTACAGACTCCGGATCTCGATGGACGTAGATACGCGTCTTTGAGATGAGCTTCTTTGGGGTATCAGGAGTCGGCGGCGGAGTGTTGTAACAGAAGGTCAAGGATGGGAGTTGGGAGTAGACACGGTTGAGACTAGTTGAATCCAGCGGGGTTGTGAAAGAGCGTGGAGAGCACTGTGGAGAAAGCGGTTCACCAGCGCTCCTTGTGTCCCCAAAGAAGAGGACATTGTACGCAGTTGTCCATGGGTCCTCGCGATCCTTGAGCAGAGGGAAGATTCCAAGACTGTGGTAGGACGTGTAGTCAACGGGCTCTGTATGGGGAGTTTCGTCTGGGGCGCCATCGAGGTATAGCGAGCCAGTAGTTGAACAGGCCAGCCCTTCAACGCTCCAATCGTCCCTCAAGTCGCCGCCCTCCCTCAGATCGTACAAATCTTCCTTCGATGTAGGACGCCGAATAGGCCGGATTAGGGAGTGGAAGTGTCCAGCTCCTTGAGGTTGATCGAAGAGCCCCTTTATAGACAAAATCAGTAAATGCTTTCATGCATGCGACAAGGTTGTCATGATGTTGGGTTATCGGCCGTAACATACATATATAGGATGTTCGACGAGACGCACCTCCGCATGCCTGTCAACAAGCTCTCCGATGCAGCCCAGACAGTAGGTGGGCAGCTGCTGACCTCGAGACACCAGCTTTCTAACCACCTGTGTCCACAATGGATCCTTCATCCTTGGTCCGCTGCGGCGAAATGGAATGATCCTACCGGCAGCTACGATGATATCTGAGGCCGGCTCAACAGTTCCCCAGTCAAGCAGCGGCTCGAGTGTGACGACGCGAGAGTGTTGAGCTTGTCCAGTGGCCTTTCTCTCTGTATCCGGACAGGAGGGGTTGCCGCAGGTTTCCTTGGAATTGTCATTGAAGATGAAGACGACGTCGCACATTGTTTGATATCGCGTTCCGGATCCTCTTCCTTCGAGGAGCTGTATGACAAGCTCTGCATGCTCAGCGAGAACCTGATCACGGCTCCAGCGATAGGTTTGGGCAGCGCTCATGAACCTCAAAGACTGATGGCCTGGCTTTGTAACGCGAGAGGATTTCTTCCAGAGCATCGTTTGCAGCTTGAGATATTGCTCGTCGCCATCGTCTAGCGTGGGCGTTGTTATGCCCCGATCCTGAAGGAATTGAACGAATGCTTCGCTGGCTTCCTTGCCGATTTTAGGAAAAAGGTAATGAACGCTCCAAAGGTCATCTTGATTAGTGTAGAAACCTTCGAAGGACGAGTCGCTAGAGCGCTCGCTCGACGAAGCCATGTCGCGCAGTAGGGTCTATGCTGTTAGCATAGGCTGAACTTATCCACAAGATGGGAGCATCGGTCACGACTGTCGCGTGTCTGGACGGGGAAGGAGGCGCGTGCGGGAGGTCGCTCTCATGCGAAGAGTCTCATACGAAGGGGACGGTTGCAGTGCCACGGGCCGACAGACTCCGCCTGTCGCACAACGAGCGGTGACAGGAGACGCTCGTACCAGTTTTGAAGACTTTTTCGACCTTTTGGCATGCTCTGAGTGGGCGCACAGTATGAAAAGAACGGTAGCGAAATGACATCCATTGGAACGCATGTGGAGTGGAGCACGTCAAACGAAACGCGAAAGAACCGCGCGCGGTGAAAACACACGTCTTGAAGTGAAAGTGAAAAGTGAAAAGAGAGAAACACATGTACGAAAACCACGCACCGCACTTAGCCAACCCGCATACCTTTGGGATTTATGCATTGATACAACCATACGCTCACATGGTATGGTCCAGGGACATGGCTGAGCTGTGAGCATATTGGTAGAAACGCAAGAGCCTTTGCTGTTGATATGGCCAGGTGTTAGACGTGCTTGCAACTCTCACTGGATTTTGGACGTCAATGTTGATGATGGAGGTACCTCACGAGGGCATATGTCTCTCGTTCGGGGTTCCTCCGTTTGCGATATCTTCCGTTTACAGAATAGCATTGATCTCGTTGCCGCTCACCATGCCCTCTACAGTCGCCTTCAATATCTCACCAAGGTTCTTGATCGACGTTGTCGAAAACCATGCCACATGCGGACTCAGGGTAATGTTGAGGTCCTTTACGTCTTCCTCCAGCAGGGGGGTATCTGCAGGTCCACCAAGTGGTTCCACCTGATATACGTCCGTCGCATAGCCGGCTATGCGCCTCTGCTTCAGAGCTTGCACTACAGCAGCTTCGTGTACTATGCCGCCTCTCGCGACGTTGATTATGACGGTATACGGATGCATCTTCTCGAGCTCGGGAGTAGAGATGAGGTTGAGCGTCTCGGGGGTTCGCGGGAGAGCTAGGACGAGGACTGTGGAGTTGCGGAGCACATCGTCAAAGGGTATGCGGTCGTCAGAGGCGTCAGGGGCTGGAAGCCCGGTGTCTACGGGAGGCGTCGCTGGTGTCTTTCGACTCGCGATAAGTACGCGCATGCCCAATGCTTGCCCGAGCGCAGCTATTCGCTTGCCTATCATCCCGTGTCAGCGCAGGACTTCTCATCCTGATTAGGATATGAAGACCTACCTATGCCTCCATATCCGATAACGCCCATAACCTCATCTCTGCAGGTCATCGGAGGCATGCCGTCCGGCAGGCGCATGTGATCCTTCACGCTACCCGCCGTCTTCCATTCGCTGGGGTGCGCACGAGTGATGCGATCCAGCAAGACGGTGCGCCTTCTGGATGCGAAGTATAGACTTATGGCATGTTCCGAAACCGCGTCGAGGTTGGCCCCCGGGCAGTTTGTAACGCGAATATTGCGGGCCCGGCAGGCGTCCAGGTCCACAGGGTCTGTTCCGGTCGCGGATATGGCAATATAGCGGAGGTTCGGAGTAACACTGGGGCGCAATGTTTCGGCATCAAGCTTAATGGTGGTAGTAATGATTATCGTTGCATCGTGGATACGCGAGTGGAGCTCTTCACGAGTCGACGTGGTCTTGTACGCTGTCAGGTTGTGGGTTGTGGAGGACGGGAAGGTAAAGCCGTGGATGGGGAGGGGCTGCTGATGCTCCTCAAGGGCTACAATCTCGTGATGCATGGCGACACAGTTACACAGCATTCGGCGCAAGGCTGGCGCTGCTCGAGACGCCCATTATCGCCATTTTATGCTGGCCATGGAACGCCTCATGCTGCCAAGTTGTTTGGGTCCGCTACTGCCACATGCGACATGTTAGGGCGCGTCGTCAACGGAAGGAGCGAAGGAGCGAGGGGAAGGCGCTGGGCAGGTGTAGCAGCAAATGCCGACTCCACTCTGGCATGCCGACACTGACATCTCCATTCACCCCTATCTCGATATCCGGGCGGGCTCCGCAAACGCCTCCCATGTGTTTTTCAGCGCGTTATGCACACGCGACCAGTGCCCCGGACTCTACCCACGAATACGGATCGTGTGCCGAGATGGACGCCCGCTGGACGCCCGCTACGACGCCAATCTCGAGCCATCGGCGACCCCCATTGGCGCGCAAGCCAGCAACTGGCAATGGAAGTAACATCACCCCACGCGTTCACTGCGATTGCCCTGCAAACTCTGCAACAGCCGAGTGAGGCTCAGCAACGTGCGCACCTCCAAAGACCACGTCAGGGTCCTTTCATCGCCGGCTGCTCGTCGGCACACGGCGGCTCAGCTTCTGGCCCACTTCTAGAAAAAACCTCAACACCTAGGCGACGGAACGCGGATGCATTAGACTGTAGTTCCCACTCAGTCGGTGATTTTCTCGGCGCAGTAAAACAGCCCTATCCGGCCACCCTCCACCAGCAATTGGCCCGCCAAGCTCCGCGTCTGTTGCCATCTGAAATTCGGGTGGGTAGTCTAAGGCGACTTGTCTACATGCTGGCTAGCGGGCCTGGACCATGCGCCGACTGACGTGCCTCTGCAGCCCTTCAAAGCCTGCGCTGATCCGCCGCTGGGGACATGTCCCAGGGCTTTGCTTTGCGACAACTCCCCAACTCTCCTTCTCTCTCAGGCCCCCAGACCCAGGACCAAAGCGACACGCCCCTCATGTCCGACTACAGGTACGGCACGCAGTCAGATGCGTATGCCGCTGAGCACGACCACACTCTGCGCAACGGCGCGCCCGAGAAAGAGACCAAGCTGGGCAACACCTACTCTGGATCCGGAGACGATGTTGTTCCCGCTGATGCCGACAACCTTCTGGCTGCCATGGGCTACAAGTCGGAACTGATCCGATCAAGATCCACTCTCCAGGTGGCCTTCATGTCCTTTGTCCTGGCTTCCGTCCCTTACGGCTTGGCTACCACCCTCTACTACCCTGTAGTTGGCGGAGGTCCCACCAACATCATCTGGGGATGGCTCGCCGTATCGCTTATCATTCTCGCAGTCGCCGCATCCCTTGGTGAGATCACCAGTGTCTACCCGACCAGTGGTGGTGTCTACTACCAGACCTTCATGATCACGCCGCCCGCCTATCGGAAAATCGCTTCGTGGATCTGTGGCTGGTGTTTCGTAGTTGGCAACATTACCATTACTCTATCCGTCAACTTTGCTACCGCGCTGTTCCTTGTGGCATGCGTCAATGTCTACGAAAGCGAACCTGGTGTTGGTATCATGGCAGGATCACCCTACCAGGTCTTCCTCATCTTCCTTGGCATCACACTCCTTTGCAACGCCGTGTCTGCCTTTGGAAACAAATACCTACCATGGTTGGATGTGAGATTCCCCCCAAACGGCTACCGGATGTGTTACTTACAGATATCTAGACTTTTGCCATCTTCTGGACCTTTGCTGGTGTGATTGCCATTATCGTCTGCATCCTTGCCATTGCGAAAAATGGTCGCCACAGCGCCGAATACGTCTTCACTGAATTCGACCCCTCCAACTCCGGATGGATCCCAGGATGGTCTTTCATGGTCGGATTACTGCACGCAGCCTACGCGACTTCATCGACCGGAATGATCATCTCGTGAGCCTCCCCTACTCTGCCCAAGCAACTTGCAGCAGATTTTCCTTGCCCAATGCACTTTCCCAAGCGACTATCCCATGCGACATTTCCTAAGCGACATCCCAAGCAACACACTCCATCGCGACATTATACGTGTCTACAAGCGGTAACTCTTAACAACAACTGTCCAAAAGCTAACACATTCGTAGCATGTGCGAAGAAGTTCGCGAACCTGCCACTCAGGTCCCCAAGGCCATGGTCGCGACCGTCGCGTTCAACACCGTTGCCGGCCTCGTCTTTCTTATCCCTCTCGTCTTCGTACTGCCCGACCAAGCCATGCTCGCAGGTCTTTTGTCCGGCCAGCCTACGCCTGTCATCATCAAGGAAGCCGTAGGGTCCTCCGCTGGTGCCATCGGACTTCTTGTTCCCCTCCTCGTCCTCGGTCTGCTTTGCGGTATCGGCTGCACGACAGCTGCGTCTCGCGCTACCTGGGCCTTCTCTCGTGACGGTGCCATTCCCGGCTACAAGCTGTGGAGGGTCGTCAACACCAACCTCGATGTCCCAGTCAACGCCATGATGCTCAGCATGGTGGTCCAGATCGCTCTCGGTCTCATCTACTTCGGTGCTGCCGCCGCTTTCAACGCCTTCTCCGGTGTTGGTGTCATTTGCTTGACATTGAGTTACGCTGCTCCCATCTTTGTCTCGCTCATGACTGGCCGTAAGCAGGTCAAGGATGGCGCGTTCCATCTCGGCATGCTCGGCACGTTCTGCAACGTCGTTGCCCTTGGTATGTTACATCACTATTACAATGTCACAACGCAATCGCTAACAACAAACAGCCTGGTCCGCCCTTGCAACTCCTCTGTTCTGCATGCCCACTTTCCGCGAAGTTACGCCTGCGTCCATGAACTACGCTTCAGTCGTCCTTGCCGCCGTCGTCGTCATCTCCACCATCTGGTACTTCGTCTGGGGAAAGAAGAACTACGAAGGCCCACCTACGCACGAGGATGCTGTCCTTGAGGCCAGGAGAGCCAGCATGGCCAGTCGCTAAGTTCCATCAAACTCTAGATGAGACACAAGAGAGGCGGAAATGATGAATGAGCCGTCTCCTGTCTCGCTACCCACACCTGAAGCGAACATTGACCCACATGTATATTTCCGCAATAGCAAATTCGATACCCCCATTCATTATCTGTTAATCAGGCCTCCAAGTAACAAGTTTGCCCTTGAAAATTGAAGCGCAGCGATCGCGCCCCCGTAACTTAACAGCCTTGACGTCAAGCTCCCTCATCTTTACACCTAGAACCGAAAAAAAGCTTGACCATCGGACCCGCGGAAAAAACGGCACCATGCACGCGCCGCCTCCACAGTCCCAATACAGTCCCATGTCCACGATATGTCACTACCTCCACAAAGTCCACAAACCTCGCAAGCAGGCTCCATGTTCCATTTCCGCCCCCATCAGGCCCCGGCACTCCTCGTCGGCCAATACCGGGACCATCTCAATAGTGATTAGTGAACCCGACCCACACGTCATTTGTAGTTAAGCGCAGCACAGCCGCGCAAAATTTTGATGGGACCGGTGCTCCGCCAGTACTCTTCGGTGCATGCAAGCGTCGCCGCTAGACAGTCCCGCTCGCCGCTAATGCATGTGGTTCCAGTGACCTGGCCTGCCGGGCTCTGGGACGGGCTGGACTCGATTGAACTGGACCCTCGTACACCTACGGTTGGATATCTGTATTCGCGCTAAGGTATTAAGGTAAGGGCGTGACGTTATACGTTAGGATTCGAGATGGACATGGGAATGAATAGGAATTAAGGCGGAATGCACATAGATCGACAGAATTTGTCACTGTGTAGAGAGACTGAGTTTCCATCTCGAGATAGTATGATAGTAGGATTCTTCGAGTATTCCTAGATATAACGCCAACGACCCATCTCAACACCATCCATCCTCTTCATCACGTCTCTCAACGTGGTTTCTGCGCTTGACTCAGCGAGTTCCTTGTTCACTGCTCGCTCGCGCTCGGAAGGAGGGATGCAGACAGGACTGCCCACAGGCGTCAAGATTCTAGATCGTGAGATAAGGTTACCGGTTGATGCATAGGGATGTCTAGGTCGTCGTGATATCCGTGGAGGAGGGTTGTCGACGAAAGGGTCTTCCAGGGAAGTGACGTCGGCGAAGGAGTGCAGTATAGGTGTCGTTGTATTGCCCTTTCCATCCATCTCATCCCCTTCTTCCTCCTCTCCATCATCATCCTCAACAACCCCATCAAACAACCTCCCCACCGGATTCCGATTCCGCACAAGAATACTCTTCCTCTTGCCTCCATCCTTCTTTCCCACCCCAAGTCCATGCCCATGTCCATGTCCATGTCCATGTCCCTGCGGACTAAGACTATCCCCAAACTCGGCAGCATCTCCCCTTCTCCCATGCCTGCCCCCATCAATACTCCCATTCCCATTCCCATTCCCATTCCCATTCCCATTCCCATTCCCATAACCACCACCCGGACTCGACGTATCCCCTTCCACAGGCGTACCAAACGTATCCCTTGAAATACTCGTTTTGATAGAGTCCGTAGCGATAGACTGTGTAATAATAGGACGTTGGTGCACAATCGTCGAGTCTTCCGGTGGCGAAGGAAGAGATAAATCAGCGTCGTAGTCGATCCACGGTGCGACTTCACGGATGTTGATGCCGGGGAAAGTGGTAGCTGAGGCGTGGGTGTGAGCGCTGCTGGCATTTGAACCCGCGGGACTGGCGTGTCTGCGCGGTTCGCCGCCTACCGTGGATACATCGGCTTTGCTGTGTGTGTTTGTGCGGTTGGGTTTCGCGGGGACGAGAAGCGTGTTGCTTTTGCCCATTGTAGCGGTTGTGGTGAGGGGGTCGGCTTCGGGGACGGATTTGGGGGATATGACGTCTTCTTTGTCGAGGACGTGGACGTGGGCTTCTTCGTCGAAGTGGAGGTGCTTGAATATGCCTTTGCGGGGTTCGATGGATGGGGGGTCTGTGGGGAGGGGTTTGGGGACGACGTGGGGTGTGACTGGAGGTGCTGTCTTGAGCGGGGTTGAGAAATCGCTTTTGTTGGCGCCTACGGGGAGGGTGCTGTGTGACTTGCGTTTACCGTCGCGGTTGACCTTGCGGAGACGCTTGTACTCGGCGTAGTCGTCGACTTCGGTTGCGGTGGGTCGCTTGGTGACTACCGCCATGGGCACTGAGTCGGTTCTCTCAAACAGGACGTCGAACAGGATATCGCCTTCTTTCCATTGCCCACCAGCAAGGTTACTGCTTTTGGCTTGCTTGATGGACCAGCCTCGGACGCTGTACAGGCCTTCGTATCTCACACCTGCTTTTGGTCCCCAGACGCTGTTGATGCTGTGGCTGCGAAGTACCCTCACAGGATCTCGACTCTTGGGTGTAGCAGAGGTAAGACGGAACTTACCCTTGTCATTCTGCGGAACACGATAGGTAAAGCGTTCTTCGGACGAGGCTTCAATCTCGCCCGTATCCTTGAGTAGAAGAGCATATGCACCGTGTTTGTCGTACGTCGTCCCGCCATCGCATGCCTCAAGCCCAATGATACCAGCATGGTGTGCGAACAGAGGATTGATCCACCACCTACAATAAACATCAGTCCATCTGCGAGTCTCTCTCCAAGCAAACGTTCCGTCAACTTACGTCCCAGCCACAAACCCCAAATCCCCCAATTTATGCGACCTCTTCGGATGAATCTTCTCCGGACAAGTCTCCGCCCAGCGCTTCAGCAACGCCTCCCTAGAATACTCATTCACACTAGCAATCCCCTCCAACCGACCCCCCCTCCCATACAAAAACGGATGAATCTCGCTAAACGGCCCAAACTTCGCCGTCCAACTGTCTACAATCTTGTCGCAGTCGTCGCACAACCTACTCGGCCAGCGTGTTGCCACGCCCGCAACGTCTTGGACGGCTTTGTGGATACCGGTTGCGCGCAGGACGGAGATGGTGATGTTTTGGGCGAGGCGGAGGGCGACGAGCGTTTCGTGGAGGGTGAGCACGTCGTCTGGGCGGAGGACGTCGGGGCCGTCGCGGGCGACGCGGAGGTCGAGTTCGTCGCGGATCCAGCGGGCTATTTGTTTGAGGCGGGGGCGGGAGAGGTCTGGGTGGACGGGGGGTGTGACGGGGAAGGTAGCGGCGGTGTGGGTTGTGGATATGGTTAGGGGGCTGGAGAGGCTGTCACGGAGGGCGGGTGTCATGGTGTTGGCACTGGTGCGTTGGGGGTAAGTCAGGATGTTGAGCCGTGTTGCATTGAAGAGTGGTAAGGGTTTGGCGGAGAAGGAATAGGTACGGCCAGTGTATTGAATGGTGTAGTGAAAGGGTGGCTTTCGTACTGGTTCAAGGTCTGAGGTCCTGGCACCAGCTGCCCTTTCCTCTGCCATGAGGGTTTGAGCGCCTTCCTACTTCTTTCATATATCTCAGTGTTTGCGCTTCTTCTTTTTCCGCTTCTCAGTCCCTTCAGCTGCCGGTGTCTCCACGGGCTTTACTGTCTCTTCAACCAATTCATCACCACTAAAACCATCCCATTCCTCATCTTCAGCAGCTGCAGTTTTGATGATCGGTGCCGAATGTGAACTGCCATCCCTAACAAAGGCAGCAACGAAGAAACCCATTGTGCCTTCTTCCGTACCCTTATCACACCGAATAGACGCTTCCAACACGTCATTCTTCAAAGATTCATCCACATCAATCTCCAGTTTCTCGTCCTCCCACACTCCGCGTCTATGCCACTTCTTCATCCCATCGACTTGCTGATCTCTCTTCAGAATCGACCAGCCACGTTCTCTTGCGACAGAAGAGGCTAGTGCTTGGAAGACAACGCCCTCGTTCTCTTCGAAATGTATTGAACATGTGGAGTACGTGATCTTGTGCGCGTTTTCAAATCGCATAGCATGGTTGAGTATGTGGAGCTGGAAGGATGATAAAGCTGTCAGTCGCTCGGCTAGCTTGCCGTGCATTGGTGTTTCTTCAGGTGTTGATTCATCCATATCCAAGTCAAGCGTCGCTGAAGGGTCAGCTTCCTCAGGCGCGTCGTCTCTCTTCCGCTTCTTGCCTTTCTCGGGCTTTTGCGGTGCTGGGCGACTGTTTGGTGACTCTGGTAGATGCATCTTGATTGCATCGTCACGTCCAACTATGCCAGTACCGGAGCAACTGGGGTCGAGCAGTATAGCACCGACATTGGCATACTCGTCGGATCCAGGCTTTGCCGCGATGAAGTCGCTACTACCCTTGACCTGAACGATGCTGTCCGCTGATGCGAGCTTGACCATCTTCTGCAACGTGAAGGTTCTACCCTTGTCGCGCTCGAATGCAATAACCTTCTGCTCTTCACCCGGTCGCCTGCGGTCCGATACGATAGCTGCCAGATGTGTTGTCTTGTTGCCCGGTGCCGCTGTAGCATCGATAACATCGCCATCGTCAGGCTGCGGGTCTAGCAGATAGGCAGGGAAGCACGAAGCCTTGTCCTGGAATATAATCTGACCCTTTGTGTACGCGACTGACCTGCTTAGATCGATCTTAGAGGGTAAGGCGAGTAGGTTCGGTATGTTGGGGTCTTCGTAGTATATCTTCGACTTCTTAGGCGCAGAAAGAACTTCGCTCAGATCTTCAGTCTTGACGAAGCCGGCAAATGTGGTCGATAGCTGCTGCTGCAAGGTCGTCTTGACGGTATTGATGCGCACCCAGCGAGGATGGCGGCTCTTGGGCGCATCACCCTCATCCTTCTCAAGTTCGCCATCATTCACAGCCTCCCTGAATGCCTCTATGGTCGCGTATCCGTGCCGTATGCGGGCTTTCGTGAGCTCGGCGCTCAGACGGGCTTTGTGTCTGGTGATGGCGAGTTTGAGGACATGGTTGGCGGCTGCAGCAACACCGTTCTTCGCGAGCAACAGATCGTGGGTAAGAAGGAGGGCAAGGATTGGCGTAAGCTGTTCAAAACACATTAACATCAGGATGCGACAAAGAATATTGCCAGTAAACTACCCACCTTCCTCTCCTCTGCCAGCAACTTGGTCTTATCAATCACATCCTTGAGCACAATGGACCATTTTGACGTTTCCGCAATGAGCGCAAATAATTGGCCTGGTGTGCTCTTCAAGTCTTTCTTGCCGTATATGCGCGACTTGAGAGACCCGCCCGTGTTCTCTGTGTTGGCAAGCACCGCCGCGGCTTCGTAGTAGAGCGACATGGAAGCTGTCGCATGCGCATGCGAGAGAAGAGTCGCGAACTTTTTGGCGTTAGGACCGAGCTCCGACTCTTTACCCACACATCTCCGCGCGCCTGGACCCACGCGACGTAGGCATTCGTGAATGTGCGATACGACGCAGCTGCTAGATTACCCATAATAGACAGGATATGATTTCACGAAACTTTGACACGCGGCATTGCTAGGCAAGTTATGACATTTTTGTTCGAAAATACCACTGGCCAACATGCCATGCCTCTGGATCATCACAGCACAACGGGTTATCTGGGTCATCTTGGGAGCATAAATCGTAATCCAATGCCGCGTGCATGCACGGTGGTGTTGTATTCTCATACGTGAGCCAGCAATCGTAACGCCGTGATATGCGTTTTCATGTATGTGGAAATGACCTCCAACGCCCCCAAAATATCCTGTATCTGATGTTTCTGTAGTTGAAGAGGCACCAAAGTACACAAATGCTCCAGGCAGCATGCTAACTGCGAATCGCAGGGGTATATATCAGCTATAGTAGATAGCGCGTGGACAAGTCATCTACGCCTTCTTGATCCTTTCCTCGTAGGCTGACCAAGCAGCTTTTCTGTATCGTTCTGCCTCCGCCTTGCGGTCTTGTGCGCGCACGATGCCTCGTCCGACAATGATGACGTCGCATCCTTGCTCGAAGATTAGCTTGCGAGGAGTGTTGTATTGTTGGCCTAGAGCATCGCCCAGCTTCTTGCCTTCCTGGCCTGGCGGTGGGAGCTGGCAGCCCGGTGTCATGGTGATGAAGTTGTCCTCTGGCTCAGTGTTCAAGCTTCGTTGCGCAATGAAGCCCATGACAAACTCGGGACGGCTGCGTGCGATCTCGACGGTCCGGTTCTGGTATTCGGGTGTCATGAGGTGGCCCTCAGAGCTCATCTCGGCAAGCAACAGAAGCGACCGGAGGAACGGTGGTGGACCAAGTCGGATGAGCTCTGTTGCTACGTCCAGGTTGAAGACTTCTTCTCCGTTGGCATTTGGCTCTGGACGCGGCGATATGCTCTCTGTGCGCATGGATATCGAGGTTGTCACGCTGACGACGCTGTGCTTGCGGTCGGCAGCCTTGATGCTCAGCCGCCTCTCCTCGCCCTCCATCTCGATGGGTGACTCAATCGCCGAGTTTCTTTGTTGTTGTACGAATTGATCGTCCTCTTCGTCATCATCGTCGTCGAGGCCGTTGATTTGCCGTGTGGCAGAGATTTCGGTGTTTACGGACGTGTTGTACTTGGCGATGGTGGCATCGGCAGCCTTCTCGAGCGCGGTGACGATGGCTGGACCAGGAATGACATGTGCGTTGGTGATCTCAGCCCAGAGCGCAATGCGGTGATGTCCCGAAGTGTACTGCTTCTGTACGGTTTCTGTGGTGTGTTAGAGATTGCCCCGCCAGTGAATATCCTACGAGCCAACATGACATACCACCAATGTCCGCAAACTTTCGGTCTTCGAAGATGAGGAACCATTTCCGCTTGGCAATCTCTCTCAGTGCCTGTGCTGTCCTGTCCGACCAGTCCACGACAATGTCGCAGTGCGTCTTGAGCACGCAGATTGAGTCACCAACATCTTCGGCCAGTTGGAGGAGTTCGGCCGACGTCTCGACATCTGCGGAGAGGCAGAGGTTCGTCTGCTTGACGGATATGAGGCTCAGTAGGTAGGAAGCCAAGGGCCCGGTCGTGGGTAGTGAGGCGCGCGCACGGTACGTGCTGGTGAGGCTCGGGTGGGAAGACATGACGGCGATCGGTGATGGACGCCCGCCGGATTTTGGCTTGTGTGCTTGAGAAGGGCCGATATATAGCCAACGCGTGTGAAGGAATGGATCGGCAGCGTGGTGTTGTTTGGCGAGTGTCTCCGCGGGGATGTCTCTGCTGAGGGGCACTGCTGTCGACGGAGGAAGGAGCGATGGACAGATCGGCAGGTGCGATGAGGCGTGTTATACAAAAAAGAAAGCCACCCAGGGATGAAGGGGAAATAGCAGCCAAGTCAGAAATATAGCAATGGAAGGCTAACGTCGACGGTCCCGTCGTCGCAGGTCGAGGACGCGGGCGCCGACAGGCAGTGCGCACAAAAATTGCGCCTGTTCCTGGCACGGCCCGCTCAGCGCTGGTCGCAGATCATGTCTAGACGCGCATTCGAACCGAAACCGTCATGCACCGCAGCCAGCGACCGCCCATAGACGCCAGAAATGCCACCCAAGCTGCGGCCTGCCCGCCTACCGCTCTTTGCACCACGGGCCTAGCCATGCACCTCTGCACTGACCGGATGAGCCTCCACTTCCCTTCGCCGCCTGCCACAGCTGTCTCTTAACCACATCATCCGCTTCACCACCTCGTATTCGCGATCCTGCACCGCCTCCTGACCGGCGCTTTACTCATGTTCAGGGCTATTCGGCCATACTGCTAGCGTTGCCAACCGACTGCATGTCGCTTCCTCCTGTCATTACCCCAGCCACCATCCCGCTGTAAACCACCATGCCGTAGCCAGCGCTTCAAGCGCCACCGTAGTGCTGCCAGACACCCCACCGCAACGTTACGCCTGTCATCCGATTATTGCAGCCTCCTCGCCGAATTGCTCAACCTCAATTGCGCCGCTCCGAGATATCAACACGTCGACTCAAGACCTTGGCAACGGCTGCACGCCTGCAGCTCGCCAACAGTCCCGATTCGTGTTCTGCCTGCGTGTGCTCCATCGGAAAGTGGGGCCCAGAGGCGACGTCGTATCATGCCCGCATCGCGATCCCCGGTTCTGATGAGTTGGTCGGTCCGTTGCTTGATTGTTGATATTGCCTCCCGTCGCTTTGGTGCTGCGTTCGCCTCGGAAGGATAGATATCCCGTCGCTATTATGGCCGTAGTGGTAAACGATGTCAAGCCAAGGAACCCTCGCTCGGCTTCATTTTGTTCGGATCGTGAACTCTACAGCTGACGATAACATGTGGAAATTAGAAGCCCAGAACACGCGTCAGATAGGTGTTCCTGACAAATCCAAAGGCTCTCAGGTTCTCTGGTCTGTAGGTTGCCAGTCTTCTGCCTGCCCTTCGTCAGTTCATCTTCTGTTTCCATCACAGCAAACATTTACATATCCCAAGGGAATCAATGTTCATCTCAGTATGTTTGCCGTCGTTTCTTCTCTTCACGAAGGCATCAGTATCAAATGTTCATACCACTTGTCTCAAACTCATTATGCCAATGTCTACGAAATCCCCGCTTTTGCGGCATGTTTCTCATGTCAATATGGTGTAGCATCACTGTGACTATTCTTACCACACTCCGAAAGTATAGACTTCGCTTCACGTGGAACAAAGCCAACATAGATCGTATTGAGTACCTTCAGACTATATGCTGGTGCTGGTAAGTTCCTCGCTGTAGACAAGCTCCACCATAGCATGGCTACATGAAGCGGTCTACAAACGACTTTGATGTTGCCCGTCACTACCATACTTTCCCTCAGCTCGAACAGGTAATAGCAGTGGGAGGACAATCCTTCGACGAATGAGAGCGCCGGAACTCGAATATGACAGCCTAGAGGTAATTTCCCGTTTGCACGTTGCGCGAATTCCGACTTCACTGCGTCTTCTTCCACGAGACACAATAACAACCCCACATTTATTCCCTCACAACAACTTTCCTGCTTCCTTCCCTCTTCCTTCTTCTCTTTACCCACAGCTTTCAACAACTTCATCGTCAATTCGCAGCTTTGCAGCTTACTTTCTCTTTCTTCCATCAAACCCACTTACATCTACCTCGTCAAGATGCCTCCCAAGAAAGAGGTCGTAGCGGGTGAGGCTCTGCTCTCTGGCTTCTTGGACAAAGAGACCAAGCTGTTGGCCGCGGCCTTCCTTAGTTCAACTGCTCCTGACAAGGTATATTACATTACATATGATATCTCCCGCATACTAACGTGAGTAGTTCGATTACGATATGATGGCTAGGCTTACAGGCAACACTGCTGGCTCTCTCAAGAAGATGTGTGAGTAACATTATATTAGCAGCATGTTAACTACGCTAACGAGATGCTCCATCATGCAGGGCCCCCGGTCAAGAAGAAGGCTCTCGAGGCCCATCCCTCGTTCGCCGCCTACTTGGGACAAGCCGGTGTCGCCGCCGCTGCTTCTGCCGGTGGTGATTCCAAGCCTGCTGCCGCCGCCAAGGTCACTAAGAAGCGCAAGGCTGCTTCCGAGGTCCCTGAAGATGCTGAGGATGGCGCCGAGGATATCGCTCCTCCCGCTTCCGCCGCTGACAAGTCTGAGGCCGAGAAGTCCGACTCCAAGAAGAAAGCTCCCGCCGCGAAGAAGGAGAAGAAGGGCCCCACTAAGAAGCGCGTTCCCGTCAAGGGCCCGAACGCCCCAAAGAAGGCAGCCAAGAAGGAGCCCGCCTCTGAGGAAGAAGTCGTCAAGGACAAGTCCGCCGAGGACTCCGCCGACGGCGGCGACGGTCTCGGTGAGTATTCCTACCTCAAAAACCTTGAGACCTGGTTGAACAATACTGACAGTGAGTTAGGCGGCGAGATGGAAGACGACATCTAGAGACGCTCATCACTTCTTGCAGGCGCTCTTGGTTCCTGACGTTGTACACACGCAAATGGTAGGCATTGCCACGCCACTGTACTCAAAAAAGGGACCGTATTCTTACATCAACAGGAGTTTCTGGGTTGCGCACGATAGCATTGTGTGTCCTTTGGGTATATGATGGGTTGTGTGTTGGCGAAAGGAGTTTCTGGGTGGATGGTATGGCATGATATGACAGTGATGATACCCCGGTGTTAAGGCTATGAGGGCTTTTGACGGCTTTTGTTGGGTATGGCACGCACTCTTCGCGTAGTCGAATCAACGATGATACATTCCACTTCTGTGTGTTCGTGAACGTGCCGTGATTGCTGTACCTTCTTTTACGGGCATGGTTGCTGTCGCGTTTGTCTTCTATACCCTGTATATTCGAATGCAAAGAGCAGCAAAAAAGAGGGTAGTATTTCGTATCTGCATATTGCTGTACGTGCGGCGACTTATGGCGTTGTGGTGTTGACATGTAAGCAGGCACACGGACCAGCCGCACAAAGATGTATCACGGCAAAATTCCGCGCTCTCAAACCCATCTTACAAACCCTCAACATGCCACCGACGCCCACGACTCGTACGCTGACAATCCAAATGCCGAAGCCGACAATGCGTTCTTTCCTTCTGAGCATGAATATATGCCGCCTTCAGTCCTTACAGCTGCCAGGAACATGAGATTCACGCGCACCTCATCATTCTTCGCAACCATCTTCGGCCTCCAACGAAGCACATCCGCGGATCTCTCATCCAGCAACACGACCTTCAATCCCCTCCAAGGAATCCAGCAATTCCCAATCTCGTCCTACAGCACCAACATGACGCGTCTCGCACCCGTCATCTCGCTCTCGCACGGCGGCGGCCCAATGCCCTTACTCGGCGACCCCTCGCACGCCGCCATCACCAAGTCGCTCAAGACAAAGGTAACCAAGATACTCAAACTGGGGACGCCTGAAGCGCCGAAAGCGATTGTGCTGGTAACGGCACATTGGAGCACGAGCAAAGTGACCGTATCCAGCGGCTCCAAACACGAACTCCTCTACGACTACTACGGCTTCCCACCAGAATCCTACGAGATCAAGCATGACGCGCCAGGCAGTCCTGAAGTCGCAGAGCAAGTAGCACAAGCCCTCAAAGACGCCGGTATCGAATGTGAGAAAGACGACAAAAGACGTACGTTCCCCCAAAACCTTCTCTTTCCCCACAGTTTCTAACAACACAACCACAGCATGGGACCACGGCGTCTTCGTCCCAATGAAACTCATCGACCCCACCGCCGCTATCCCCATAATCCAACTCTCGGTCCTCTCCTCCGAGTCCCCCACCCAATCCTACGCCATCGGCCGCGCCCTCTCCTCGCTCCGCACCCAAAACATCGCCATCATCGGCAGCGGCTTTGCTACCTTCCACAACCTACGCTTGATGTTCGATGGCACGTCACGGAACCCAGAGTTCAAAGCGCTGAACAAGGAGTGGAGTGGCGCTGTTACAGATGCGGCTATGACGGAGAGCGAGCAGGAGAGGGAACGCAAGTTTGAGCATTGGAGAAGTTGGCCCGGCGCTTATACTATGCATCCGCGGGGTGGGGCGGAGCACTTTTTGCCGTTGATTGTTGCTGCGGGGGCGGCTGCGGGGAGCAAGGGGAGGAGTTATGCGGATGATTTTATGGGGACGGATATGTGGAGTTATTATTGGGAGGAGTGAGGGGGTGATGCAGGGGAGGGTGATATAGGGTAATGGGTGGTAATCAGGGAAGTGAGTGAGCAATACAGTTTCTCCTGTAAATTTTCATATCAGGATGAAACTTTGGAGGAGAAACTGTATTGCTCACTTACTTCTCTAATTATCATCCATTACCGCTGTATGAGGTTTCATACAAAGGTGGTGATATAGGGTAATAGATAATAAATAGGGAAGGAAGTGAGCAATTGAGTCTGTTGATGATGTTACTCACCGGAGTATCATCAAAAACAGACTCAATTGCTCACTTGCTTCCCTGAGTATCATCCATTAACGCTGTATGAGAGTATGTCGCGTCAGTGAGACTTCGTTACCCTACAACATCTTCAAGCTGTAAGCATACTACCTATCATATCCACGCCCATCTATTTGGTATCGCATCTCCCTCAAATCCACTTTCATCCCACCCCTCCCATCTCACCCCTGAATAGGCTTCAACCCATACCACCCAATAACGCCCATCCCGCCAAACGCACTCAAACAACTAAACACCAACGCCACAATCCCCCTCGCCGTGAAACCCTCCGGTAACCGCCCCGGACTCCTATTCTCACCCCGCAAGTCCTCGTAATCAACCGTGTTGCCCGCTGCATTCCCTTGCGTGGGTACATGCCCCGTTTCACACACGTCCCAGTGCGATTGCGGGATTGTGTTTGAGGAAGAAGGGGAGAGTTGGGCTTGGACGGCGAGAGGGGCTTCGATCATTGTGGCGGTTAGCCCGGAGGCTACGTGCCATTCTATGTGGCAGTGGAAGAGCCAGACGCCTTTGGGGGGATGTCAGTAAGGTGGAAAGCATGGGATCGCGTAGAGAAAACGTCCTGAATGGGAATGTTGGTCTTGGTGCGTGGGAGTAAGTGCTTACCAGGGTTGTCAGATCGGAAACGTAGCACGATGTGGCCGTTTGGTCGGACGAGGACGGTGTCGCGTCGCATGGGTGTTGGAGGGGGTGTTGTTGTGTTGGTGGGGTCGTAGAAGCCTGCGTCGTCGTCGCTGCGGGTTACGACTTGGAAGGCGTGGCCGTGGAGATGGAAGGGGTGTCTAGAAAACGTTGTTAGTATGAATACATTATCTACACTTCGACATTGGCGTAGAGAGTGGACGATGCGGAGATGAGAGGGATAGACGCACTTTCCAGGGTCATCGTTGTTTAGCACGATCTCCACAACTTCGTTCTGAGCAAGGACGAATGCGTTTGTGTTGCTGCCGTAGATGGTGGGGTTGGTTGCGTTGGGCCCGGTGGAGAGGACGGTGTATAAGGTGGGTACCTTGGGGCTGACGTAGGTTACGTCGTTGAAGAACGCACTGGCGTATGTTAGTTCCAAATTATACAAGCGCACGTATGGCATAGTAGATCGAGAGACTCACTAATTTGCCCCATCGTCGAGGTTATCCATCTTCAAGTCCAGCGTGATGGAACGATCAACGTGATCAAACAGCTCTTCCTTGTCGTGCGGCACCAAAGCGAAATCATCAAAAGGCTCAAACTCTGATATCTCCGTCGCGGCAGGCATATCCTTCTTATCATCATAGACAAGCCATCCCGTGACATTAGGATTCAGCCCATCGGGTATAGCATCGAACAGGTCCTGGTCCATGCTTCCTACAAAAGCGAAGTTGGAATTGGTGTCGTTCTTGGCAGTGACGAGAACACTGTACCGCTGTGCTGCGGTCAGGTAGATCATATCTGCCTCCATGGGTTCTGTATACACGCCATCGACCTCGACAACGCGCATGGTATGATCCTCGAACCAGACGTACTGGGCAGCGAACGCACCCATGTTGACCAAGCGGAAGAGATACGTCTTTCCTGGTTGGATGGCGACAGTCAAGTTCTGAGTGTCATTGAGCAATGCGGCTTGGGGTACGGGCTCCGCGCCGGATGGATTGGCGATGTTGATGAATTCGCCCAAGAGATTGTGCATGAGATCGTGATACCAATCGGAAAGTGTTATGACGACTTCTTCGTCGTAGAGATCTTTGAATGGATCTTCGGGGTCGTGCACTATTAGAGGGCCTCGAAGACCATCTGGATATTGGCCGCGCTCATGGCTGTGGTACCAATATGTGCCGGGTTGGTCGACCTAGTTAGATTAAAGACTGCAATGACTATCCATCAGAGACTGCGCAACTCACGGTGAAGTTGTATGTGAAGGAGCTGCCTGGAGGGATACCGCATTGGGTGACAGCAACAGGACCATCCATGTGCGTAGTTCCATTCATGTACAAGCCATGGAAATGCAGACTCGTCGACTCATTTCCCAGAGAGTTCTTTGCGTTGACGATGACCTGATCGCCTTTCGTGACTACAATGGGTGGTAAAGGCCATTGGCCGTTGATTCCAATGACCGGGCGCGTTTCCTGCCCATCGGGATTCGCATAAGTCCATGCTATGTCGAAGTCATATGTGACGGTCGCGCAGGTAGCGACTGATAGTAGTAGGGAGAGCGGAAGGAGGAGGCTCGATAGTGAGAGTGCCATGATGGCGCACGAAGCGAGTGCTGAGGATCAGATGCAGTCAGACCTCGTCGCTGATGATCAGGCTGCTGTGAGTACGACTGTACTAAGGAAGTTCATGTGCTACACCCACGTTAGTGCCGATGCAAGAACACTCTCGTCAGACGCAGGACGTAAGATCCGACGTGCGGAGATCAGATAAGACTCTCTAAGCACTTAGCCTCCACTATCTCAAGCCCCCATGCTTCGGCGCCGAGTTATCAGATCATCAGCCCATGTTCTCGACGGTCTGAAGACGGCCACAAAGTGTCGCAAAGCGGGGCTTCTGTGTTTTTCCCTCACGAACTAGACTTACCTCGGCCTGACGTGTTTGATCATCCCAGTATCAGATTGAATTTTCCACGTCTTGGGTAACGACTAGCGAGTTTGTCGAGCTTGATTTGGTGTGGGGTGACATTCACCGGGTGTTATCGGTCCATCTGATAATCTGGACCATGATCGGCCAGGGTCTGGGGTAAGCGACGGCGCCGAAGGACCAATAAGCTTGCGCTAGTCCGCGCCACGAAGTCTTGATTGTATTTGGCGTGCTGGGCATGTGAAGGTGCGGATCAGATAACTCGGAGGTTGGAGAGGGTGTTGGAGCATCTGTCGTCGGAATCGGAGCGGAGAAATGGGACTGAGGTCGGGTGTAGTTGCCTAACGCCAGAAGATGACAACCAGAGATATCGCAGTCGGAGTCGCAGCCGACGCAGCACACAGCTGAAGCATGATCGGTCCGTCGT